TACAATAAAAGACTCTCCAGAGGTATCACCACTCCTTCATTCAAGCTCTACTATAAAGCTACAGTAATAAAAACAGAATGGTATTGGCATAAAAACACATGGAGACAGGTGGATCAGTGGAATCGAATCAAGAGACCCAGACATAAATCCACACACCTATGGACAGCTGATTTTCGAAAAAGAAGCTAAAATTATACAATGGAAAACAGAAAGCTCCTTCAACAAATGGTGCTGGTCTAACTGGATGTTATGTTTAGAAGAATACAAATAGATCCAAATCTATCACCCCGCACAAAACTCAAGTACAAGTCGATAAAGACCTCAACATAAATCCAGATACACTGAACATGATAGCAGAAAAAGTGGGATATAGCCTTGAATGCATTGGCACAGGGGACAATTTCCAGAACAGAACACCAATAGTGCAGACACTAAGATCAACAATTAATAAATGGGACCCCATGAAACTGAAAAGCTTCTGTAAGGCAAAGGACACTGTCAACAGGACAAAACAGCAGCCTACAGAATGGGAAAAGTTTTTCACCAACCCCACATCTGACAGAGGGCTGACTTCCAAAATATATAAAGAACTCAAGAAACTAGACATCAGAAAAACAAATAATCCAATTAAAAAATGAGCTACAGTTCTAAACAGAGAATGCTCAACAGAAGAAACTCAAGTGGCTAAGAAACACTTAAATGTTCAGCATCCTTAGCCATCAGGGAAATGCAAATCAAATCTACTCTAAAATTCTATCTTACACCTGTCAGAATGGCTAAGATCAAAAATACAAGTGATAGCTCATTCTGGAGAGGATGTGGAGCAAGGGGAACACTCCTCCATTGTTGGTGGGAGTGTAAACAGCCACTTTGGAAATCAATATGGCAGTTTCCCTGAAAACTGAAAATTGATCTACCTCAAGATCCAACTACCTCTTGGGGATATATCCAAACGATTCTCAATCATGCCACAAGAACATTGCTCAACTACACTCATAGCAGCTTTTTAGGCAGAACCTGGAAACAAACTAGACATCCCTCAACTGAAGAATAGATAAAGAAAATGCAGTATATTTACATAATGGAGTATTACTCAGCTGTTAAAAACAATGACACCAAGATATTTGCAGGCAGATGAATAAAATTAGAAAAAAAATCATACTGAGTGAGGTAACCCAGACACAGAAAGACAAACATGATTGGTGCCTAGCCCAACTGTCATCAGAGAGGCTTCATCCAGCAACTGATGGTAACAAATACAGAGACCCATAGCCAAATATCAGGCTGAGCTTGGGGAATCCTGCTGAAGATGGGGATGAAGAATTGTAGGAGCCAATGGGGTCAATAACCTTACAAGAAAATCCACAGAATCAACTAACATGGACTCAAAGGAGCTTACAGAGACTGAAGAGACAACCAGGGAGCCTGTATGGGACTGACCTAGGCCCTCTGCATATATAAGCCAGTTGTATAGCTTGTTCTTTTTGTGGGATTCCTAACAATGGGAGAAGGGGATGTCTCCAACTATTTTGCTGGCTGTTGGGTACCTATTCCTCATACGGGGTTGCCCTGTCAGCCTTAATTACAAGTGGAGGTGCTTAGTCTTGCTGCAACATGATATGGGAGGCCTGACCTCTTCTGAATAGAATTGGAGAAGGAGTGGATTGGAGTGGGACAAAATGGAGGTGGGGGAGAAAGCCGGGAGGAGAGGAGAGAGGGGAAACTGCAGTATGAATGTAAAATAAGTAAATTTAAAATAAGAAAATAAAGAAGGATGTGCCTATAAAGGTACAAGAAGCACACAAAATACCAAATAGACTGGACCGAGAAGAAACTCCCCATAACACAAAATTAAAACACTAAAAGTACAGAACAAAGAATTAAAAAGGGAAAAGCTAAAAAGGGAAAATGAAGAAGTAACAATAAAAGCAGACCAGTTATAATAACAACCAACTTACTAATGAAAATTCTAAAAGCCAGAAAGGGTCTGGACAGATGTTTACAAAGCTCTAAGTGACCACAAATGCCAGCCAGACTACTATACCCAGTAAATTATCAATAAAAATATACTATAGATAAATCTAGATCATATAATCAACCTAAACAGACCCATGAACCCTAGAGAAATAGAGTAGTAATTAAAATTTCTCAACCAAAGAAGCCCAGGGCCAGATGGCTTCAGAGCAGATTCTAGCAGACATTCAAAGAAATAACGCCAGTACTTCTCAAATTATAATGAAAGAATACTGCTTAATTTTGTTTATGAGGCCACAATTATCCTGATATGTAAACCATACAAAAATCCAACAAAGAAAGAAAATTGCAGACCCATTTCCCTTATGAACACAAATGCAAAGATTCTTAACCAAATGCTCTCAAACTGAATAAAAAAAAAAACACATCAAAAAGACTATCTACCATGATCAAGCAGGCTTCATTCCAGAGATGAGGGATGGATCAACACACACAAATCGATAAATGCAATGCACCACATAAACAGACTAAAATACAAAACCACATGATCATCTCATTAGATGAAGAAAAGGCTTTTGACACAATTCAGCACCTCTTCATCACAAAAGTCCTGGAGACATGGGCTTGTCTGTGTAAGTGTGTGTCCCTGTGTGTATGTGCTGCTCGTGTTCCTTCTTTCTGTTTCCTTCTGCTCATTTGCTTGTTCTGTTCTACTGTGGTTTGTTTTCTTTTTTATTTGTCTGTTTGTTTGTTTTCCAAAGAAAGAGAGAAAGAGGCATGGAATTGGATGGGTGGGGAAATGGCGGGGGGATCTGGGAGGAGATGAGGGAGGGGAAACCGTGTTCAGAATATATTGTGTGAAAAAAAATCTATTTTCAGAAAAAAGAGAAAAGAACAACAAATGCTAGCCAGAATTTGTGAGAAAAAAACATTTGTAAGGATATAAATTAGTTATAGACCTTATAGCATCCATAATGGTGGTTCCTAAAAAAACCCCTAAAGATACAACTAGCATATAATACAGTTATACCACTTCTGGGTATGTATTTCAAGGAATTTAAATCAGCAGACAACATAAATACTAGCACATCATTTTATTTCAACACTATCCACAAGAACTACGTTATATAATTAACCTCTATTTCCACCAAAAGATGGATGAACAAAGAAAATGTGGTAAATATACACAACAGAGAATATTCAAGCAAAAAGAAGAACAAAATTATGTTAATTTTCAGGAAAATTAATGGAAATGGAGATCACTGTTAGGTGAAATACACTAGAATCAAAAAGACACATACACCATTTTTCTCATATGAAGAATTTAGGTTTTAAAAGTCATAAATAAGAAACACTGTTCAAAACAGATAAGCAGTCATCAAAGAACAATGTGGATAAATCATGTATACTACACATGCATTCTACCAACTGAGCTACATCCTCAGAACCTCAGGGTAGTGTCTTACTCCAGTTCTCAAAGTTAATTAACAGCAGAACAGGATTGGAAATTCAAATATGTTTATTTAATCCAAGTCATTTTTCCAATTAATTGCATTCCTGAAATCTGACTAATCACAGAATCAGCTTGAAGTAACATAATGTACCTTCATAAGAAAAATGTAGAGAAAAGGAGATTTGTATACACACACACACACACACACACACACACACACACACACACACACACACACACAATTGGTGGAATGTCAATTAGTATGGCCATTATGGAAAACAGTATAATGGTTGCTCAAAATCTTAAACTACCATTTGACTGAGTAATTTCACTCTGAGTTACATATACCAAAGAAATGAAAATAATATGTTAAAGAGACATAGGTACTCTCATACTCATTGCAATAACATTCATGAGAGCCATGAAACAGAAACAACTTAGGTGTCTATCAACCAATGAGTAGAAAATAAGACCACGTACTATATACAAAATACAATTTATTCCACCTAAAGAATAAAATTCTATCATTTGTCTCAACATGGGTGGAACAGAAAATGATAAGTGAAATAAGCTATGCAGAGAAAGTCAGAAACTTATTGTGGGACACCTTGCCCAGCCTCGATGCAGGAGGGAGGAGCTTGGGACCTGCCTCAACTGAATGTGCCAGGCTTTATGGACTCCCCATGGGAGGCCTTACCTTTTCAGATGAGGGGATGGGAGGTAGGGTTGGGGTGGGAAGGCTGGTGGGGAACAGGAGGAGGGATGAGAAGGGGGAATCTGTGGTTGGTATGTAAAAATGAATAAAAAATTATCTTAATGAAAAAAGTCAGGTACTGTATAGTATCAATTATATATGCAAATTGAGGGTAGAATAGTGGTTATCACAGGCTGAATAAGGTTGGGTTACAGAAAGGTTGACAAATTAGTACTAAATAACAGTAAGACTGGAACAAGAATTTCTGATGTGATATAGTGCAAAGGAGTAACTATAGTAACAGTAATGTATTGTGTATTTCTAAACACTAGAAGAAAGGATTTTCCATTTTTCAAACCATTAATAAATATCAAATGTTTGAGAATATATGTGGACATTGATTTAAACATTATATAATATATGTAGCAAAATATGTTACCCAAATATTATGTACTTTTTGTTTAATGTTTTAATAAGATAAGAGCATTAGCAAACATGTAGAAACAGGCTTTAGATTCTACATGTGTGATCCAATAAAATCACCAGAATTCTAAAGTATGCTAGGTGCTAGGTAACATTATCCTCTAAAACATTCTCAAAAATCTGCAGGCAGAGCAGTAGCAAGCTGCCTACCTCCATCTGAGATACAGTGTGCTTCTATAAGGTAAGATGATTTATATTCATAAAGCCATTACATTTTGACAACAGGTCATTTGTTGTTTTGAGACAGGTTCCCACTATGTAACCAAGGCTGGCCTGAAAGTTACTCCACAGCACAGGCTAGTCTTGACCTCATAGAAATCTTGAAGCATGTGTCACTACAGCCAGATCAAGTCATTTTTAAGAAGCTATTCCAAGTAAAGAAATGATTATTCTTACCTGTGGTGTTGTTAGGGTTGTAGTGCTACTCATTGTATCTTCCATTTGCTGTGTTTGAACATCCAATGTTTCAAACTGGTGTTCAAATTTGTCCATTAAGGCAGAAATCTATAAAGACATAGTCAGAAGCAAAATGTATTCTGAAAAGATGCTATCTGAACATCAAGTAACAATGGTAATTGTTTATGTTTTTACCTTTTCAAGGTTCATACTCCTCAATGTAGCATCCATAGACTTAACTACACCTGCCATGGACTTTGTCACCTATTTGGAATTAAAAAAAAATGATTTAGTAACATGGAAATTTTGTAATCTTTTAAATATATTATTTATATATCAACTTAGGAAACTTGTCTATTACTTCCTTAACAGTAACACCACAATCTGTATCTAGGTCTAGGTACTGTCTATTTTATATTACTGACACTTCTTAGCAGACAGCTAATAAGACAGTTGAAAGTCCACCACCTAAATCTCTTTCCTTACTAAGTCTGATTTTCCATGAAGTCCTTTATCAACCCCGTCTAATGCCCTGTAACCGACTCAGCTGTGTTGTTTTTCTAAGTCTTTCTCCTCTCATTAAGCTTCAGTCAAGTGTTACTTTACTGACAGACACTGTCTTACCTTGCCCATTGTTACTGCAGTTTGAACTCTGGCTGCCACAGCATCAACCCTAGCACTCATTCTCAAGAAATTGATTGCTTGGTTTTTCTGACGGATTGCATTTTCAGCATGTATTCTTGCAACTTCTGTATTGCCTTTCTGAATGGCCTGTTTTAAGCAGAAGGAATATATTGTTGAAGAAAAACAGAAACTAAGACACTGGTGAAGACAAAGAGCCAAAGTACAGCTATTTTTTTAAAAAATTAAATGATATCAAATTAATTATAGTCTATAAGAGGTTTGAATTAGCCTTTTGACACCTAATTATTATAACAGTTAAATAATAATGTACAATCCTATTCTCTTTTAATATCATGATTAGAAAATACACATGTATTTACAGTTTAAGAAATTATAATATGCTGGACATGGCACATGCTTTTAATTCCATCATTCAGGGGGCAGGAGCAACCTAACTCTGAGCTTGAGGCCAGCCTTGTCTACATAGCAAGTTCCAGGCCAGCCAGGGCTACACAGTGAGACCTTGCCTAAAAAATACAATAGAAACTAAAAGTTAAAAATGGCTCCTAATTATATCACCATGCTATTTTCATTGTTAATATTTTAGTACATACTATCTTAATATATAAACACATTTATTACTATGTAGTTTGTAATAAAAGCAGGCACACAGAATGCAGAGTTTTGAATCTTGTTTTCTCTCATGCTAAAAACACCACTTTAAGTTAAGAACATAACTACATCATTATTTCTAAGAGGTTCATCATACAAATGTCACTGTAGTAAAGGAATTACTGATCACACATAAAATGATTCTAGATGTTACACAGACATTAAGCAGTTTCTGTATGATTTTACTGAATATGCATATGAAAACACAGTCTAACAGGAATCCAGCCTTTTTGGTATAATATATCAGATCAGGGATAGAGCTAAAAGAAAACCAAATTTATCTAAAGAAAAAAAATCACTGAATAAATAGTTCAGATAACACAACAAAGTGACATAGGTAGTACAGAAATGACAGAAATTCAAGAATAAGATCCTAACTCTTCAATAAAATAAATAGCAATTTTTATAACTCTCTCTGTGTTTTGTGTATGTGTGTGTGTGTGTGTGTGTGTGTGTGTGTGTGTATCTTTACACACTTTCCAAATGTTTACATAAGACAAATACTGAATACTGAGTTACTGGATACAGACATATATTCAAATTTAATTATACTCCCCGTGATGCTTATAACAATTTCTTCATCTAGAATAGCACTATTGCATTATTCACAGGTAATCAACATGGGATATTATTACTGTAGTTCATCATGATCTCAGCTCAGAAGCTTCTTGCTGCAGCAGATGGGAACAAATGCAGAGACCCACAGCCAGACACTGCACAAAGTGAGTGACCTTGGAACACTCAGCCCCGAATGGGGCTTGAGAAGCACAAGCAGCCACAGGTGGTGGACTGCACACAGACTAGCTGCAGGATGTGGGGCTCAGGTCACATTAGGCACCACTTGAAACAAGAGCCCAAAGGGTGTATATATGAATATATATCAATGTATTAATGGGTGCTATGGGAAAACAGACTCAAAGATGACAGGATAAGGTAGATCCAGTTGCAGAGTTTTTCTGTTTTGCCGGGGGGGGGGGGTGTTAATGGAACTAGCCAGTCCAGTCTCCAACCATATCAATAGAGAGCATGCCCCCCCCTTGCCCCCACCAGTTTTAAGCAGTCACATACTTAGGAAAAAAAAAACATGCCTCTATCAGGCCAGCTACTCCAAGGTCATTGGCAGAGCAAATTCACACAGCAGAATATGCTGGTGAGTATATGGGAATCAATATATCAATCAGTATATTCAGGAATCAATATAGAGGTTCCTTAAAAATTAAAAATAGAATTAGCACATGATCTGGTTTTACTACTCCTGGGTATACACCTGAAGCCAGCATGCAATACTGTTTACTATGGTACTATTCACAAGAGTCAACTTATAGGATCACTTTAGATGCTTACCCATAGATACATGGATAAAGAAAATGTGGTATTTCACACACATTGGAGTACAGTTCAGTCATAAAGGATACAGTTATGACATTTGCACAAAAATATCATAAAAACATTATGAAGTGGGCATCATAATGGTAATTTTAATAAGTGAGACTCAGAAAGAGAACACGTATTTTCTCTCAAAAGCAGAATTTGGATTTGTTTTTAAAGACATGGAAGTAGAATGGGGCATTTTGGTGGAGGGATCAGGAGGAGGAGGGAGAAAGACAAGTGAGGGTAGTAGGGAGTGCATATAACATATAATATATATTACATACATGTGATATATAACATATATATGTGCATATAACTGAAGTATATTACATGCAGGTATGGAAAAGTGTTTTGTGATTTTTTTTTCTTTTTTTAAGTCAGGGAGAAAAAGGGAGGGAGAGGGAGAGAGAACATAATGTTGGGAAGGTTGTTAGGCAGAAAGAATCTGGGGGAAGTTGGGGAAAATGAAAAATATCAAAATATATTACAGGTAAACATTTAATAAAAATGAAAAAAATTGTAACACAACCCATTAGCTTTTACATTACATAAAGTAGTTTTATACTTTTTTTCTGAGTATTTTGCATGCATTCATCTTTTTAGAGTTTTTCTGATTAAATAGCTATGTATTTGTTACATGTAATGTTACTTTTCCTATATTGCTGATTAGTATTTTATTTTATATGTGATTATAGATTTTAAATAAATCTCTCTTATTTATTTTATTCTGCTCTAAATGTCATTTTTTTTTAACCTCACGGCAATTTCTTATGGTATTGAATGGTTTCATTTCTGACATTTAAATAACTATTAAATTTGTTGCTCATTTGAATGAAATATTCAGGTTTTTTTTAAGAAAAATCATTGATCTATATTCCTACTACTTTAGAATATTTTAATTTTGATATAGACTCTCCTTAAGTTACCCAGGGTGGCCTTGAACTTTCAATCCTTCTGCCTGAGCCTCCTGAAGAGCTGAATAGCTGTGATTGCAGGCATGTATTACATACATGTTTTCTTCTCATTCAGGTAAGTATCTATTATCTTCCAACAATAGTTGCTTCCTTGATTGAAGCATTATCTCCTTTAATATATTCAAGGGTTTTTTGTTTGATGCCTAATTACCTTTGTTCATTTTTAGTTAATTAAAAATTACTACAAAAGAAACACCTGCATGTGAATACAGCATTAAAGCAGAAAATAATATCCTATATTAAAAAGACTTTCTCTCAACTCAATTACTCTCTCAGATGGCCTAGCATCAAGCAGATGCAAAACAGCATTTTAGGCAGTGTGGATTTTGTAGTGAACCCAAAGAAATCCCTGGGTTATTATGGAACATACAATCCAAACAGAGTCTGACAATAAGCAAAACAATTAAAATAGAAAACGGTAAAGGTGAAAAAAGAGCAGTAGGTGTCAGGGAGAGAAATGAAGAGAGGACAGTAAGAAAAAATAAAGGCTATGAATTAGAAAGAGAATAAGGAGGTATGTGAGATGACTTGGAGGGAAGAAAAGGGAAGGGAGGGATAATGTAACTATAACTTCAAAAAGAATTAAAAATTATTTCAAATAACAATGCTAGGACTGTGGTTCTTGAATTTTCAGACCCTGATAGGGCCATTTGACATAGGGCGATGTGAGTGAGCATATGAAATAGAAAAAGGTTTCTATCTTAGGTGGAGGGTGAAGGCAGGCCAGTCCGATGGCGGAAACCCACCAGTGAGAAGACTGTAAACAGGTACTGACACAGCAGAAGGGGCAACACAGTCGAGTCTACCAAGGGAAATCAGAAAGAAGTCCAGTAATAAATCAGACATGGCATTGGAGCCATTCTAAAACCCTGACATTTTACTTGACGGTAAGAGATCACAATATAGTTCTGAGCGGAACATTGACCTATGACTTCTCTTAAAATACTTCCTCTGGCTGCTCTGTTAAGATTACTTTTATGGGGGTTGAAGGATGTTGCTCAGTAGTTCAGTGGTAGAGTCCTTGTCTAAGAGGAGTGATTGTTATTGGGCTTGATTCCTAGTACTGGGAGAAAAACAAAACCCTAAAACGAAATCATTATGGGAACAGGGTCAAAACAGAGGCCAAAACAAAGAGGCTAACGGAAGCTTGTTTACAATAAGTGAGGTAAGATAAGGATGGCCTGGGTGGAGATAGGTACACTGGACTTGGTAAGAAGTGATCAGATTCTAAAGACTTTTGAAAGATTTTCCAAGGCTCAGATGTAGTGTATGAAACTAGAGGTTAAGCATAATGCCATTCTAAGACTATTTGTTTTGTCTGAAAGACAGAAAATGCCTTACAAGCACACCAGGAATGCCGTACTGGAGGATGTCACATATGGAGCCCTGTTTCAAGTTGGATTTTTTTCCCTTGGTCATCCAAGTAGAAACAATAAAGAAGTTGAAACAGGAGTCTTCAGTTCAGGTATACAGGCTAAGCTAGAGTTATCCATCACCATGCAAATAAAGCTAGAAGACTAACTAGATGAAATAACTTCTAGGGTCATCGGAGGTTAGAAATAACAACAACAGCAAAAGAACAGTAGTAAAGTGGACTTGGATTGGGCAGTGGTGAATGTGTTTTCCTAAAAGACAAAGCACCAAAGTGTTGGAAGGAAGGAGTAATGAACCCAGACAAACACTATCAATAGTCCTAATAAAATGGAGATTAAGAACTAATTGGATTGAGCAGTATAAATGTTCTTGGTTTCCATGCAGGTAGAGGTCTAAGTGTAAATGTAAAACAAAACAAAAAAACAAAAACTGAAGCAGGAGGAATTAGAATTAAGAAAAAAATAGGGGGCTATTTCAAAGGGGTTACAAGTAATGGGGGGAAAAGCAAGAAAGGTACTGGCAACAGGGTCTGGTGAGGAAATGTTTGCTTAATACCAAACCAAACAAACAAACAAAACATCCCCCTCCACACACAAAAAAGCCCTCAGGCAAACAGCCAAAACCATCAAGAAGCAGAAATCTCACACAAGTACTTCGAAAGATTTAAAGATGGCTGTGGGCTAACACAATGTATTCAGCACAAAGGAGAAAACTGATAATGTAAGCCTAATGATACCTGGGAACAGGCCTTAGCAGAGAAGAGGAGCAGACTCCCTTTCATTCTTAGACACATGGCTAGTTCACCTATTTTTAAAAGAGGAAAAAGACACCCTATGGCAACTGAGGCAGCTATCTACAGTGATCTAACATTTCTCTGTTAACTAGAAAGCCAGAGCATCAGGCAAATCTGAGAATGAGAAAGGGGGATCTTGAGGTTTACAAAGAGAGAGTGCCCTATACTGGGGGCAAGGAGGAAAGAAGGATGCTTCTCCCAAACATCACAGGGTATGAAGCAAAAAATCCAGTGTCAGATATGAATTACCTCCTTTCTATTCGTTCATCAATGGAGTCTGACAGATACCCTCCTCCCTCCCAAAATTATAAGCTATTGTCACTGATCTTTATTAATTTCTTGATCTTGATAGTAAGACCTTATTGCCAAAGACTCCACACACTTGACTTGCTTGAAGCTTCATCCTCCTGGTTAGCTTTTATAGTAGAGAAGTGCTATGCATGCTATGGAAGGAATAAAGTAATTAATAGTCTTACTTAGCATTGCTACCAAAAGTGAGTGGCCTGGCAAGAAATGCCTACAGGTTCCATAGTGGTATGAGTGATATGGGAGTAACCAATCACTTTGTGATTAGATTTAAGATTGTGCCACTAGATGGAACTCATGCCTGGCACCTGGTACCTTTAATGGGTCCAAGAGCCTAGAGCTGGGTAAACCAAAGGATACAGTATTAAACTTATTCTTAAATAGTTATCTTTATAACCATAGATCAGTGCAATTCTCAATTTTCTTCAGAGAACCTTTTTCAAAAGATACTGTGTAGCAGGCTTTCTCAGACTGCCAGCCCCCAAATCATGACACCAAGACTTACTATTAGTCATGAATGCTCAGCCTTATCTTATGCTTGTTCCACTAGCTCTTATAACTTAGATTAATCTGTTTCTCTTCATCTATGTTTTGCCTTGGGGCTTTTTACCTGTCTTTCATTCTGTATGTCCTACTCCATGTCTGTCTGGCTAGCAGCTGCCTGGCTGGCTGGCCCCAGGTGTCTCCCTATTTTTCTCCCACATTCATTCCTCTTGTTCTCTCTGGAGCCTAGATTCCTCCTCCTACTTATTCTCTCTGCCTGCCAGCCCCACCTATCCCTCTACTGCCTAGCTATTGGCCATTCAGCTTTTTAGTGTCCTTCTACTGCCTAGCTATTGGCTGTTCAGCTTTTTATTGGACCAGTCAGGTGCCTTAGGCAGGTAAGGTGAAACAGCAACACATCTTTGCCTTGTTAAACAAATACAACATAAACAAATGCAACACAGCTTTACATAGTTAAAGTAATATTCCACAACAATAGTGATTAGTACAAAGTGAAGAGAATGAAAGACCATGGAGTGCTCAGCCCTAAATGATACATCTATATCATACACCCTCGCTCCAAGGCTCAAGGATCATTGTGAAAGAGTGGGCAGAAAGACTAAGAGTCAGAGGTAGTAGATGAGTACAGTGAAGCAGAATTATCTACATATGACAGGGCCACATGAACTCACAGAAACCACTGAGTGCATGCACAACACCTGCCCAAGAACAAGGATGAAAAGCTCCCCAGCCAGGGTTGGAGAGGGGATCACAAAGTCCCACCTCTAGTTGAGAGCTATACACAACTGATGGCTTCTGGGAAAGTCAGTTTTCTTCAGGGATGTGGCTCGAGAGGCTATGTGCCAATAGACAGCCCCACACTTATGCAATATGGGCATTGCCAAGTAGACTTTGTGGGTTTAAAGAGAAAGCAGAAGAAATGAAGAGGGAAGAGTGGATGGGACATGGGAGGAAGTGAAGGGGAAGGAATGGGAGTGGTTTAACCAAAACACATCATATGTATGTATGGAATTCTCAAAGAAAATCCTGTAAATAGTTATGTATAAAACCTAATTAACATAGCATGCTTAGAAATATTATCCTTCAAAAGTTTTACCTTTAAATCTGGAACTTGCTTTAGTAACTTTGATTTAGGGATAATATCCAGAACTTCTAGAAATGTCTTATAATCCAAGCAATAGATGGCATAATAAAATCAGCAAATAGGGCGGGGGTGGTGGCACATGGCTTTAATCCCAGCACTTAGGAGGCAGAGCCACGCGGATCTCTGTGAGTTTGAGGCCAGCCTGGTCTACAACGTGAGATCCAGGACAGGCACCAAAGCTAAACAGAGAAACCCCTATCTTGAAAAACCAATAAACAAACAAACAAATAAATAATAAAATCAGCAAACAGGTTTCAAGAGAATTTTTTTTTTAAGTGAAAAAAGGTACAGATAATTAAGAAAAAATGTTAAACATCCTTGGCCACTAGGGAAATGAAAATGAAAACAAAACTGAGATTTCACCTTAGCTGTTCAGAATTACTATCATTAACTAAACATCATTAAATGCTAATGAGGACGTGGTGAAAATGGAACCCTTATATACTGCTGGTAGAAATGTAAATTATTTGAGTCACTATGGAAATGAACTTGGAGACATTTCACATAGGACTCAGCCATGCCATCCTTGAGAATGTACTCAAAGGACTTTAAATCAACATATAGCACAGTAATTGCATACCCATGTTCATTGTAGCAGTACTCACAATCGCCAAGTTATTGAATTAGGTTAGTGTAGAGACCCACACAGGCTTCCTAGTGAATACTTACTCAGGGTCTGAGAATCAGAGCTCGCTTTACCCAGCAGGTTTGCATAAGGGAATGATTTGATCACAGACATGGTTACCAGGTGTTTGAAAGGGTCTACACTTGCAGTGTGCTTTGATCTAGCAAAGGAGAGGTCTTTTGTTCCACTTCTCGGCATTGTTATAAAAAAAAAAAACCCTTTGAAGAGACAGAAGGGACCGTTGGGGGTCTTGATCCAGGTCCTTCCGAAGCTATCCTTTGTTTCTGTCTTTCTCTTCTTTGCTAACTTTCTATCTAATATTTTCTTATCCCTCTCTCCTCCTCCTAGGAACCCTGGAAAAGGTAGGAGCTGGCCTCCCACAAGTTAGGTATCCACCAATAGATGGAAAAAAACTCTCATTTTACACACACACACACACACACACACACACACACACACACACACACACACACACAATGGAGTTTATTTAGCCACAAAGGAGAATGAAATTGTATAGCCAGGTGGCAGTAGACACCTTTAATTCTACACTCAGGAGGCAAAAGCAGGTGGGTCTCTGTGAGTTCGAGGCCAGCCTTGTCTACAGAGTGAGTTCCAAGACAGCCAAGGCTGTTACACAGAAACTCTGTCTCACAACAAGAACAACAACAACAAAATGGATGCAAATGAAGAGCATAATAGTAAGTGAAATAAGTCAGCCTTGGTGTGAGCCTATTTTCTCTCATTTGTAGATCCCAGCTCTTATATAGACACACAATTCAAAACTGCATATAGGACATGAAAGTATATGTGAGACTATCTGAGGGAAATGAACAGGAGTTGAGGGGGAATAAAAAGGAAAGGCGTGGCATGGATATGGCAAAATACATGACATAAATATTTGAAAAGGTCTGTGGAACCCATCAGTATGTACAATGAATATATATTGATAAAAAATGTTTCACTATGCCTGAATTGTTTGTGCAAACAGTGGTACTTTGTGTCAGACAACTAATTTCCTTCCAGAGATGTGGAATTCTGGCATAGTCTAGGCAAAAAGTCCCAATATAACTGATTACTAATAAAACCTCCAGATTTCTGTGTCCAGAGCTTCTCTGTTAGGCAATGTTTCATGTGTGGCAAAAAAAAAATCCCAATATGACTGATTAATAACAAAACTTCCAGAATTCTGTGTCCAGAGCTTCTCTGTTAGGCAATGTTTCATGTGTGTTATGACTAGCTGAAGAAATTAAGCTTCCCCCAATGTGACTCCACTGAGAAAGGACTCTTAGAACTGTGAACTTGAATCTCCCAGATTCCCTGGTAGTATAATAGGTTTCTTTGCTGAGTCTACTTTGAATCCTTTTACTATATCCCTGTGGTAAACTACCTACTGTGTCCTATGACTCCTGCTAGTAAATATGAAAGCACTATACATTAATTATATACAGTATTTAGATGTATACCTTAGAAAGCATAGATGTTAAAATCATCCAAAAGAAGGAATATTTTATATATGGGCTTCTCAAGAAGAATGAAATTAGCTAAGGACAGTTTTTATTTGAAAGTAACACAAGAATCACACAATCTTGTAAGGTATATTTGCATATATAAATAGCAAAAAACATAAAAGCATAATAAAGAAGGCATTATCGACTATGTGGGATACTGATTTATCTAAAGAGACTATACAATTCTACCTTCTATATCTATTTGTACATCTTTTGTGAATTAAAAAAGTAAAAACATTAAAAGTATCTACCTTTTTTATCTTGGCCTTTTCAGCTTTTTCTTCTTTATCACATTTCTTGGCATTCCTATTAAGTTCTTTTGCAGCAAACCTCAAGTTAAATAAGTGTTCTGAAAATATAGGTTAAGGGTAGCTAGTCAAAAAGTCACTTTTTTTCCAGCAAAAAGACCTGAAAACCTGTTAAAATCATTTAAAAAGGATCAGATAATACTATAATTTAAGTCAAATAATCACAAAATTTCTAAGGGAAAAGAACAAACTATTTCTAATCAAGAACATATAATATTAATTACAAAGGAAAAATAACTATTCTGAAGAAACTGGGTAGATAGTATTTTAGCCAAGTTTAACCTCATCAGTAATAAGGCATGTCCATATTATTTACTTTCTGAAATGATGTCTTGAGAAGAATAAATCATCATTAGTATGGCACTCTTGCTAAAAACAACCTCATTTGTTATAGACTTTCAAGTGTCAAGTTCCTGAAGAGCAAGGACAAATGAATAACTGGCACAAATTGGAGACTAGAGAGACAAGGTGGCTGACTACATGAAACACTACCAAAAGACTCTTCCCTTATTGAGGGAAGCCAAAGCAATAATGTGGAGGCAGAACTGAAGCAGAGACCATGGAGGAACACTGCTTACTAGCTTGCCCAACTTGTTTTCTTATTATCACCTAGGGCACCCTGCAAAGAGTGGGCTGTGCCCTCCCACATCAATCATTAATCAAGAAAATGCCTCAAGGAGCTGCCTACGGGCGTTCTCTCTTCCCAGATGACTAGCTTGTGTCAAGTTGACAATAAAACCAACCAGCATAAGTAAAACAGAAAACTGAAGAAAGCTGGGGAGAAAATCAGCTAACTGGAATACATCTGAATTACAATGAGAAGAAGATAGACAGCAATTGAAGTAGACAAAAGTGGTCTTACAATATCTGGAATACTTGGGCTAGAGAGATGGCTCTGTGGTTAAGAGTATGGCTGGCTCTTCCAGAGGATCAAGATTCAGTTCTCGCACCCATACAGGTGCTCGCAACTGCCTGTAACCCCACTTTCATGGGGTTCAATGCCCTCCTTTGGCTTCCACAGACAACAGACATATTATGTAGGACATAGATATACATGCAGGTAAAACACTCATACACACATAACAATAAAATAGGAATAAAAAAATTTTAAATCTGGAATCCTAGGGGGGAAACATGATAACAGTGTGAAAGACTATATTTAAAATGAGAACGTGAATATTCTGTAACTAATGAGCACAATAAAAAAGCAGCACAAAAATTCCAAACAGGCCAAAACAACATAAACTTACATCTAGATGCATCATAGTAAACCCACAAACATCAAAGACTAAATTAACTTTCAAAGAGCCACAGTCGAAGTTCAGACAATTTACAAGTGATACGGTCAAATAGAGCAGAATTTCCAAATAAAACTCCTAATTACCAAAGGATTTATGGTCATGCATTATTCTAAGTAGTGATAGTCTACCAAAGTGCCATAAATACCAATAGCAAACACTAAAGTATTGCTTCTAAAGAGAATCTAGGGTTTGGTTCCTATGTGTTACATTTTGACCAACTGATGTATATTTACTTTATGTGCATTTCTGTTTCAACAAACCCTATTTAATACATATTGTTGATGCATTAATAGCAAATTCTTAGCTTAGAATAATTCATGACTGAAAATTAACCTAATACAAAAATTTTATCTACAAGGCACAGCACCGCCTTCCCATACTAAAAACACGAAACAGCATATTAAGGTCCTATAAAAGGGAACTATTTTAAATAGGGGAATTATAAACAGAAGGCACAGAATACAGAAAATATAGTATTAGACAGCAGAAGACATTCGTTTGCCATATGAGCATTCATTACCTTTCCTAAGTAGGAAACAGGAACATCAGTTGAGCCCAAATGTTTACAAATCTAGGCAAGTTCTGGAATAAAAATATTATTTGTGCTAGTTTTCTACAAATTTTACTATGTAGACAAATTTGCAAATACAGAATGTTTCAATAATTTAACTTAGCTTCTCAAGAAACTAAACTAGATCTAACAAAAGGCTTGATGAGCACAGAATTATATCCAGGAAATGTTGGTTACATTAGAGAATCATCACGTCCAATTTTAAGATTAAAAACTCAGAACATAAACAGATGTAAACACCTAAGACAAAGGATGGGGTGAGCTGAGTATGTTAAGAACTTTGTACCATTCACAAGTAAATCAGCATTCATTAAATTTAACATTAACTATACATGTTAAAATTTCAAGGGTACCACTGAAGAAATAGTATGTAACTTCCAAAGTAATAAAGGGAAAAATGGTGTGAACCATTTACAGACTCAAAGGAAAGCAGCAAGAGAGTAAGGAATCTAGGGATAAAAGGCCAAACAGAAATGATACATTAAGTAGAAACTTTCCCCATCTGTGGGCTGGCTAAATATAAATAGCTCAGCGGGAAAAGTGCTTGTTTAACAAGCCTGATGATCTGAGTTTTATCCCCAAAACCCATATGAAAAAAAGAGTTCCAGTCTCAGAGTGTGTGGGGCCATTCCACCCCCACTTTCCCCCAGGGTACTCTTGAACAGGAGCAGCAGGAGATATTAGCTAGAAATATACCTGGAGAGAGAGACAGACAGAAACATAGAATGGCCTCGGGAGGGCCTGGATCCTTATCCATTGGACCCTGACTGTATCTGCCAAAGGGCTTTTTATATGAATGCCAAGGGGAGGATCAAAAGACCTTCCCCCAGGCACAGCCAAGTGCAGACCCTTCCAATCACCTGGCAACCTTGCCTGTGGTCAAATCATCCCCTTATGCAGCTCTGCTGTATCAGGCAAAGTCAGATCTCACAAGGAAACTTCTGTGGTCTCCCATACAAGAGCCCACCTTAAAAAGCTGCATAGGGCCGCATGCATCTGTAATCCCAAAACACTTACTGAGAGACGGGAAGAGAAGACAAGAGAATTGCTCAGAAGTTCTTGGGCCAGCTAGGCTGGAATACACAGTGCAACAGAAATAGTAAGAAAGACCTTGTCTCTATAATATAGAAGGAGAGGACTGACTCCCAAACACTGACTACTGATCTCTACATGTGTGCTGTAGTACACACACAAACAATAAATGAAAAATAAATAAAATTCAACAGAAAGAAACATTCTCAAAATATCATGATGGATTAAAAAATAATGAAGCAAACTATAGACAGAACTTTAAAATGCAAAGATATTGAATGATAAGATGGCAAAAGACAGAAAAAAATATTAAACACTATTCTAAAATAAGGAGCCATGAGTTTATTTCTATCACTCAAAACAATATAAAAAGTCAATAAAGTATTAGGAATTAAGAAAAAGGGCTCATCATAAAAATTCACAAGCTGACCTAATAATCAAAGGAAACACACCTATAGCACAGCTGCAAACTCTCTCTCTCTCTCTCTCTCTCTCTCTCTCTCTCTCTCTCTCTCTC